AAGAGTGGAGCAAAATTTGACGAGCGATTTTCTCCTCCTTGACTTGACTTGCAAGTACAATACAACCAATTTGGTTGTTTGTTACATAGGAAAACAACGAGGGGCTTGTTTGGTTTTTGTCTTCCACCGCATCATTTTCACAACTCGTAACTTGTGATGCTCTCATATCTTGTTCTCCCACATTAGCTTTGTGTGTTTGTGAATCTTGGCTAGAGATGGCAGAAATTAGGCTCACCAGGGTGGAGCAAGGCCAAACCAAGATCAAAAATGTTCCAATAGCTGTGACCCCAGAAGGGTTTTGGTGCTGCCCTTCTCCTGTTGTGTTTCAGAAAAGCCTCAAGGCCCAAAACCCTCTCAACAAGCCCAAACCCTCTTCACCCCCGCCAAAAACCAGTGTTCAGAAGAAGCCAGTGTCTGTGCCAGTGTGTGAGAGAAGAGCTTCTGCAGCACCTGCCCCTTCAAGATTGGTGCTTTCTGATGATCAGCAATGTGCAACTGCTCCAGAGAGGCCTCCACCTACCACATCTGTGGCTGCAGAGAGGACACCTAGGCCCAAAATTGAATCTTTGCCAAAGAAGGTTGCTATTGAGTTTGGTGAACCCGGAACTTGTGATATGAAGGTGGTTTTGTTGGGAAAGCAGGGTTTTTGTGTCAAGTTGAGTGTGCACAGGGATGTTCTGACAGAGAAGAGTTGCTTCTTTTCTGAAAAACTCTCTGAACAATCCGGTTTGTCCTGTCTCCAAATCGGTGACTGTGAGGATGTTGAGATATATGTTGAAACTGTTGGTCTTATGTACTGTAAGGAGATGAAGCAGCGGCTTATGAAGCAAAGTGTTTCTCGCATTCTTCGAATACTCAAGGTAATTTGCTATCTTTGTGTCTTGTTTTGGTGTTTTTTATCAACCCTGAAATTTGTTATGCTTACACAATTCTGTTGTATAATGTGTTTGTGGGGTTGAAATATGTTAAGTGTTGCTATCAATCTTTTGTTGTTATAGGTATTGTGATTGCGATTTTGGGATTATCTTTATGTTGTCTAGTGTCTGTTCATTTGTTCTTTTGAAACGCAATGCTGGCTCGAGTTTGACTGCTTAATGTTCATTCTCTGCTTAAGAGTATTAATGCTCCCCTCATTAATAATTCTCCTCGTGTAACTCCTCTCATTAATTATACACCTCTCAAAGTTAATGCGATTTTAAAAGGAAATTAAAATCTTTTGTACTACTTTTGATACTGAAAACGAGTATTGATAATTAATTGGAAGCTGGTGTAGCGAAACGGAAACTGGTGGTGCATTACAATTGTTTCAAAAATAATTTCTTATAGGGCTATTCGTAGTTTCTTTTCTTTTTTTTTTCTTTTTCTTGGGAGGCCTTGATTGTTTTGACTTCAAGATTTCTTTTCAACTCTGGTCTTAAAAGTGGAAATGCTTCCATTACACATAAAACATGGAATTTCATGAAATGTGCTTTTATGATAGATATTAGATATACTCATATACTGACTAGGGATGGCGAAGTCAAGAGTTGCACAAGAAGATAACTTGTGCTATGAATGCCAGTTATGTTGATGATAAAATAATCCTCGTGTCTTTGTACCCAGACAAAAAAGGCTCTTGTCTTGTACTACTATGCGGAATTTTTTATATTATGGTTAATAAGTATATACTTATGTGCTCGTCAAAAGTATATACATAGCAATCTTGAAATACATAGAACTTGTATGTAAATATAGTTGACACAGATAGATCAAAGTTGCTTTGCAGAGTGGAGGGTTCCATGAACGAGGACTCTAGTGATGATCATGATAGAATTATGGCGTCACATGGGATAAAATTACCAAATTTTGACTGTTGAATGCTAGTTTTTTAAGATGAGCTAGTATTGAGGTCAGAAGAAAGCAAATAATTTAATGTGATCCTGCTG